CTCTCTAATGACATGATAGAGATCGTCAGAGTGAATAAAAAGCAAGACTGAACCTTTAATATCTGAATGTTATGGAGAAGAGAGGGCTTGTTGCACACACAGCAAACCATAGACACATACTGAGAAAAAGAACTTTTTTTTTTTCTAAAAATATACAACATACCATGGTCCAAGCATCATTAAGATAGTACTTACTTAAGCTAGTACAATTCTAAGTCAGGTAGAGGATCTTTATGCACAACTCTGTAAGAGACAAACTGGGACACTGAGGTGTCCAGAGAAATCTGTAATGATGGAGGGTGGAGGTGGCTCACCACAGCAGAGGAATGGAGTGGGCTTGTGACACTCAGTTTGGATGCTACTTCCAGCAATGGAGCGGAATCTGAGGGACTTGGATTCTGCCTGTGCCAGCTCACATGCTCTTTACCCATTTTGGTTCTGACAGCAGCCATGGAAATTGTTATCTCCATTTTACTAATAAATAGCGTGAAATAACTGAGGCATTGTCATAGTAAAAACCACTGTTTATATTGCTAGCTTCTTCCCACGTGGCTCAGGGGTAAAGAATCTGCTTGCAGTGCAGGAGGTGCCTCTTGCACAGGATACACAGGTTCAATCCCTGGCTCAGGAAAATCCCTTGAGAAGGAAATGGCAACCCACTCCAGATTTCTTGCCTGGGGAATCCCATGGACAGAGATGCCTGTCAGGCTACAATCCATGGGGTCCCAAAAGAGCTGGACACAACTTAGTGACTAAACAACATATTGCTAGCTAAATGATTCAAAAGTATTTTGAAATTCATTATTCTTGTTTGTTGATGCTTTTTCAATAAGTTTTCATCAAGTTTTTCACTGTCTTTAAGTTGACTGATACATTTAGTTTGCTTCCTCTTGTTTTTTCTTTTTTTGGCCATGCAGCATGTGAGATCTTAGTTCCGGACCAGAGATCAAACCTGTGCCCTCTGTGGTGGAAGTGCAGAATCTTAACCATTAGGCAACCCAGGAATTCCTGCTTTCTCTTTTAAAAATCAAACTTTAATGAGAGATTAAATAATACTTGCTAATTTAGGAAAACTAGATAAAAGCTTTACGCATGTAACTTCAGTAAAGGAAACATGGTGTTGAAAGCAAGATTTAAAATTTGTCTTCTTAATATAGTTTATTTTCTGTTCCAAAGCAACAACAACAAAACCACTTTAGGAGGCATATTTTACAATCAGAAACACAATAATGCTCATTCCATTTGTGGGAACTAAATGGAAAATATTTTCTATTGGCTACATGGGAAAGAGTAAATTTCTAAACAGGCTAATCATAACTTTTAAAACAATGAGCAAAAATTTAAAAATACAAATAAATGTTAAGATTTTCAAATTTATAGAGATGCCTTATTTATTTGGTTATGTATGTTTATATTACTTAGAAAGCATTTTGACTGGTTACACAAGACAGCAGCTACATTTCATGCTATGTGCATGAAAATTTTAAAATGAGATCATTCTAAACAAAATCAGCACATTTATTATATGAAATACATGATATTAGGGAAGGAGACAGGAATAGACACAGGATTTTGTCCATTTCATTCCTGTAATCAGTCCTTCTTCTACTCACAACTTTTAAATTTCATATAGAAATAAATTTGTTCTATTAAATAAATGTATTCATGTAATGTTTCCAAATTTGCCCACTGAGAGTGGACCTGCTGAAACATGACTGTTATTTTCAGTTTTGAAAAACAGGAGCTAATTGAAAGTTTTTATTTTCTTGGGCTCCAAAATCACTGCAGATGGTGACTGCAGCCATGAAATTAAAAGATGCTTGCTCCTTGGAAGAAAACCATGATAAACCTAGACAGTGTATTAAAAAGTGGAGATATCACTCTGCTGGCAAAGGTCCATATAATCAAAGGCATGATTTTTCCAGTAGTCATGTACAGATGTCGGAGTTGGACCATAAAGAAGGCTGAGCAGCAAAGAATTGATGCTTTCAAACTGTGGTTCTGAAGAAGACCCTTGAGATTCCCTAGGACAGCAAGGAGATCAAACCACTCAATCCTAAAGGAAATCAAGCCTGAATATTCATTGGAAGGACTGATGCTGAAGCTCCAATACTTTGGCCACCTAATGCAAAGAGCGGACTTATTGGAAAAGACACTGATGCTGGGAAAGATTGAAGGCAGGAGGAAAAGGGAGTGACAGGCATGAGGTGGTTGGATGGCATCATCAATTTATGGACATGAGTTTGAGCAAACTCTGGGAGATTAGTGAAGGACAGGGAAGCCTAGCATGCTGGAGTGCTGTAGTCCATGGTTTTGCAGAGTCAGACATGACTGAGTGACTGAACAACAACTGAAAGTAGGTCAAATATGATCCAATTAGATTTGAAGAGTGGTGAGAAGACATAAAAAATAAACATAACAAGTTAAACGTGTCTCCTTGGCAGGGGCTGTGAAAGAGGCAATATTTCTCTTAAGAGATCTAATCGTGACTAAGTTTAATCATGAGTGGTTTAATCATGACTAAACCTGGTTTAATCGACCAGTATAGGATGATAATAAAAAATTTTACAATTTTTGTAAATTGTACTTTCTTTGGATAGTTGGATTATGGCTTTGTTTATATTTTTCTTTATATTTCTGCATAATCCAAATATGTATAATCACCTTGTATTACACAAATAATTATAAAAAGTATTTCATCTTCAAATGTTTCTCATAGAAACTTTTAAAACGAGTGTAAAGAAATAAACAACTCACAAAGACCCAATGTTAATTGCTGTTATAAAAAAATTGCTAAAAGCTTTAATAATAATTAAGTGCATTATTATGTTATTAAATATCTACATCAGACACTGCTGGAAATTGAGGTCCAGGGTAATTAAGACAAAAGCATTGTTACAAAAGGGCACAGGCTTGCACAGAAAAGATAATGCCTAATTTATTTAATAGTTATATAATTATTATTAATAATAAACTATAATAGTCCATTAACTTAACAGGATATTTGGAAAGGTGAAAAAACAATACTGGTTTAGCAACAAGGTCCTTCTGTACAGCACAGGGAACTATATTCAATATCCTGTGATAAACCATAATGGATAAAGAATATGAAAAAAGAATGTAAAAAAAGTACTGGTTTAAATACAGACATACATTATTTGATGCAATTCCAATTTTGGAAAGATTAAAATTTGGAAAGGTACATTCCTTGTGAAATTAAATAAGCAAATCAGATCACAATGTTTGTAAAATGGTGTCATCACTGTCAGTGTTTCTCCATGCCTATGCTGGCAAAACTCAGATGCATCAGAATCACCTGCATGTGTGCTCAATCGTGTCCAACTCTTGGTGACCCCATGGACTATAGCCCACCAGGATCCTCTGTCCATGGAATTCTCCAGGCAAGAATACTGGAGTGGGTTGCTATTTCCTTCTCCAGGGAATATGCCCAACCCAGGGATCAATCCCACAGCTCCTCCATTAGCAGGTGGGTTCTTTTATATTGAGCCACCAGGGAAGCAGAATCACCTGAGGAACTGTCAAAATAGTAGTTAATGATCAGGTGATTCAAGGAACGACAAGGGGTTGGGAGTGGGAAGGCACCCAAGTGAAAGCATTTTTTCACATTTCCTTCAGGTGATTGAGCTTCCCTGATAGCTCAGTTGATAAAGAATCCGCCTGCAATGCAAGAGAACCTGGTTCGATTCCTGGGTTGGGAAGATCTGCTGGAGAAGGGATAGGCTACCCACTCCAGTATTCTTGGGCTTCCCTTGTGGCTCAGCTGGTAAAGAATCTGCCTGCAATTGGGAGACTTGGGTTTGATCCCTGGGCTTGGAAGATCCCCTGAAGGAAAAGGCTACCCACTCCAGTATTCTGGCCTGGAGAATTCCATGGACTGTGTAGTCCGTGGGGTCACAGAGAGTTGGACATGACTGAGCCACTTTCACTTTTCACTGGGCCACTTAATTAAGGACAGTCACTTAGGAACAGTGTTGAGCCAGTTTCTGAACTCTATTAATGAATCAGTTAAAATAATTAAATATCTGTTGGAGCTTTCCATGTGGCGCTAGTGGTAAGAACCTGCCTGCCAATGCAAAAGACGTAAGAGTTGTGGGTTCGATCCCTGGGTCAGGAAGATTCCCTGAAGAAGGGCATGGCAACCCACTCCAGTATTCTTGCCTGGAGAAACCCATGGACAGAGTAAAACCAAATGGGTCTTGTTCAGAACCAACGTTAAGAACAAGAACCATGGGAATGGTACTCACTGGTAAATGTAACTCCAAAGTGATGAAGGCCTTCTCCCACAACTTTTATAGAAGTCAAAGGGGGGATTTATCTCACCAGGGACTACAGAGAGATCAGTGGGCTTTTGTTAGCTTGTGGACTCCAGCACATCAGCAACATGAACTGAAATAGGAGCCAGCAGAAGGGGAAAAATGCCCAACTGACATGCCAGTAATCAGGGAGGTAGGGGTACTGCAAATATGACTGGAATGACAGAGTGGAACCCACCTACTTTTCCTCTTGTGAGCCTGGGTGAAAACTCCCCTTAGTACTGCCCAAGGATCTGATGAGAGTCAGAGTCCTGTTAAATGCTGAGGAGTTGCATAGGAGGCAGGCCAACAGTTCCACACCTCATGTATTTCATTTGGCAGCCCTCTAAGGCAGACATTATTTATCCCATTTCACAGAAGAGAAGACTGACTCTTTACAGGAATGTATCTGTAATAAAGGGAGGGTTTACTTTCAGTTAAGACTGGAAGATACTTAAAGTTTACTTTTCTTTAAGTTTGCTGAACCAGTAATTATGTTCATTCACAGATTCATTGAAAAACTGTTCTCAATTCTTCTAAAAATCCCAGATAATAAATGAAAAGAAGTCACGTATTATCCAACCCAGAGAAATGTGCTCCAATTACCATCCTGGGATATGTGATTTCAGATTTTTGAAGGGTTCATGTATTTTTTTTTCTTTAATGAGACAATGATAAATGTGTAAATTGCTTTTTAATTACTTTATTAACTTTACATTTTTCCATGCAAATGGGTGAAACTTCACTGTTGACAGAAACTTAGATTGGGTGCCAAGGCAATCTGCAATTAGAAGCTGGTAACACAGAACCCACCTGACACACTGAAATTACATAAGGTTCACAGCAAACGGATCAGTAAAGGCATTATCAGGAAAATGCAAGGAAAAACAGAACAACAGTGGAAATCACAGTATTAATCTCATGGAAATGACAGGAGTCAAGGCATAAGGCAAAATTCGTCATGATGGTCATGGTGATTAGAGAGCTCCCCCATAAGGATACGCAGACAATTCCTCAACTGCAGCTCCCTAAGTTTTCTCCTGATTTCTCTCATCTCCTCCATGAATATTTCCATATCGTCTCCATCTCCACCCATCCCATCATTGACCTGCCTATTGGGTATGACCCATCGGAAATTAGGGGCAAGTCGGCGAGCCTGTCCCCGTCTATGATTTCTTTCTGGCTGGTGGCCTTTGCCCCCTCCCAAAGGGCGGTCTTCCTCTCCGTTCTGCACGGGTTGCTCCATTTCTTCGTTTTCCTGGTGGATATTAGCCATGATGAGATTTTTTTTCCCCCGGTTATTTTTCTTTGAACAAGTAAGACAAAGGCAAGGTGAGAGACTGAATGCTTGGTGCACTGACCAGCAGGATTCAGTCCTGATAGCAAAGATTAAAAAAAAAATTTTTTTTTCCCACCACAGGCGCTTCGTGCGCCTTCTGGGGAGCCTTCACTTTGACTTCTTTCCCAGCTCTCTCCTTTTTCCTCCCTCCCTCACACCCAAAGCCCACCATTTTTCTTTTCCCAGGACTCTTTCCCAGAGCGTAGCAGGCACCAAAATGGAGGACGGGGCATGGGGTCTGGGGGAGTTAGCAAGGGATCTCAGGCTGGGCTATGCACCAGTCCCCTTCCTCCCCTGCACAGTTCCCGGCACTGACCTGGGCCTATCCTCGCTGTCTCCTGCTCCTTCCGATCCTGGCCACGAGTGCGCAGCCGCCACACTTAGTTCGGCAGACCTGCAAAGGGCCAGGGTTGGGGCAGGAGGCTGCTGCAGCCGGGCGCTTGGCGCCTTCCCGACCCCTCCATCGCTCTGAGTTGCTTTCCTGCCTTCCCTGGAACCCTGCCCCCCTGCACCCCCCACCCCAGGGGGCCACTATTTCTGTTCCCAGGAAAGCCCGGGTGTGGAGAAGGCTTGCCTGGACTCGTCACGCTGAACCCCTGTGCTGGCCTCTGGGGTTGGCTGGCAGCTGCCTCCCTGGCGTCAGCGCGCGGCCCAGGGGCCCTTACCTGCTCCGCTTGCCGCGGGCCCAATGCCAACCCGCCGTGCGCGGGGGAGCGGGAAGCTGGTACCCAGACAGAAGTGACGACTGCACCGAAGGCTGCGTCGCCCTGCAGCTCGAGATCACGTGAGCACCCCACGTCACCGCCGAGCTCACCCCCAACTCTGGCGGCCAGTGCAGCAGGAGCGCCCCACTTCCGCTTCTTGCACAGGCACGGACAGCCACCTCCGCCTGTTTGTGCACTGGGTCACAGCGCGCACCTCCCTGTCAATCAATCATCTCCTTCTTCTCCAATCTGACTGCCCACGAGTGGCATCACTTCCCTGCTGTTGGAGTTTGCACTTCTCTGGTTATAAGGGAGGGTCTACAACACCCTCTACCCGCTCTCCGCCCCTAGGCCTTGGCGTTGGTTTTTTTTGCTCTCTTTCCTCTTCTCATTAACCAAAGTCTTTCCCCACCCCGCCCCACCATTGCCCACCAAGTGCCCTGAATTCATACTCTTCTAGGACATTTAGGTTGAAGGTTAGGGTGGGGAGGGAGCAAGAAACTTGTCAGACAGAGAGGCGAGAAGGTAGAGTGGGTTGTATATATCCTTCCTAATAATTTCTCTTTATTTCTTTTTTTAAAAAAGTCAGCATACCATCAAAAAATTAAAAATTGCAAGGTTTCATTTTTTAAAGAAATGCTCCATCCTGCGGAAAGAAAAAGCCTAATTGTTTGATTTTGTTTGTTCACTGGTACCACTCAGAAAATATTTTCTTTGGACTCTACCACACAACATCAACAACATTTTGGAAACATTTTACTTTGAAATCTTCTTTTGAAAAAATACAAGTATCTTCCTGAATACAGTTGGTGTTTTCAAAATGATCTGTAACATAAATCTTGAGGTTGAAGTCCAGTTGTCAGACCTTGACCATTTTATGTAAATTTATGTGATGTTTTTGATACCATAGTCTTTGGAGGAAAGGAGCCTTTAAAAAAAAAAGGAGCCTGTTTATTTTCTGCTTTCCTTTCCAAACTTGGGAAGGCACTCCTACACATATTTCCTTAGAGTGATCTGAGAAATTAAGTATACAACTGGTAAAAGTTAGTTCCAAAGACATGTTTTTTGTAATGTGAATGTTTCCAAAAAATATTAGAAATAGGCATGGGGTATGTGAAGCAATTAAACTTGAAACTCATTTTGAGTATAACTGTTTATTTTTTCAACTTGAAATAACTGAAAACTACTTTTAAAAATCATGGTTACAAAATAGAGATGCCTTTAGGAAAATGGCATTATTATTCAAAAATAGTAAGGGTTGGTTGTGTCCAAGGAACCAAAAGAGTTATATGTACTGAGGCCAGACAGGCCAGGCAAATGCTAACTGCCTCTAGTTTTGCTCAGGGGCTTCAGTTGTGTCTGACTCTTCGAGACCTCCTGAACTGTAGCCTGCCAGACTCCTCTGTCCATGGGATTATCCGGGCAAGAATACTGGAGTGTGTTGCTATTTCCTCCTCCAGGGAATCTTCTCAACTCAGGGACTGAACCTGTCTCTCTTGTGTCACCTACATTGGCAAGTGGATTCTTTACCACTATGCCATCTGGGAAGCCCTTTGGCTCCAAAAGCCTATGTAATCTCCCACCCTGTTAAACTAGCTGGGACACTGAATAAAGGAAGAGTATATGCCTACTGCATATGTAGTTTGAAATATATAAAATTATGTATATATGCATGCATGCATGCATGTCTGACTCTTTTTGACCTCATGGACATGTCAAAACCATGACAACCTCATGGACTCCTCATGGAGCCTGCCAGGCTCCTCAGTCCATGGGATTTTCCAGGCAAGAATACTGGAGTGGGTTGCCTTGCCCTCCTTCCTCCAGGGGATCTTCTTGACCTAGGGATAGAACCCATATCTCCTGCATTACAGGTGGATTCTTTACTGCTGAGCCACTGGGGAAGCCCATGTATCTATCTACCTATCTATCTATCTGACATATATGTGTGTTTTATATATATATATATATATATATATATATATACACACACATATATATTCCACATATATATACTAATTTTAGAGATATAAAGAAATATTGATATATTGCTCCAAAAGCTCAAATTAAAAAATAATTGTCTTTTAAAGGAATGCTAGTGATTCCTGAATTCTCTCTCACAATTAACAACTCTTCATATAGGTAGCTCTATTAATGATACCCATTGGAAACATGCCGATTAGAGGCATGAGTTGTGGTATCAGACATATCTGGGTTTAAATCATGTTTCTGCTACTTGTACTGATGTATGACTTTGAGTCAGTTACTTATCAGGGTCTCTGTGCTTCCTCTGTGAAACAGGGATTTTTAGAAGTAAATCACATATTTCAAGTAAGTACCATAGAGCCTAAAGAATCATCAATGAAAGTTGATTCATTACTTTTTTTTTTTTTTTTTTACTATTATTAGATGGTTTCTAAGAAGGTTTAAAGAGTGGGCAAAGCATAGTTCTGTTCTTAGCTAGATACACTTGTCTTTAAAATCTGTGAGGGTCCCAAACACATCTGCTGTCTTCTACTTTGCAAAGTCAGTGACTTACAGAATTCTTTGTACCAAGTAGGTGATTGGTGAATATTTGTTGACTGATATATCCACTATTGAGTTAATGGGGCTTCCCAGGTGGCACTAGTGGTAAAGAATCCGCCAGCCAGTTTAGGAAACATGAGACAGTCCCTGGGTCAGGAAGATCCCCTGGAGAAGGAAATGGCAACCCACTCCCATGGACAGAGGAATCCCATGGACAGAGGAGCTTGGCGGGTTACAGTCCATAGGGTCACAAGGAGTTCAACACAACTGAAACGACTTAGCGTGCAGCATGCATACTGAGGCTAATAGGTTGCTTTTCATTCAGGGGATGATATTTAGAGCAATATAGAAAAACTTTTATGAAAATTAGAAATTACCTAGAGAGAATCCCCTGAAAGTAGGCAAATTGCTATAACATAACCATTGAATGGCCTCCCCAGATGATGCTTGTGGTAAAGAACCTGCCTGCCAATGCAGGAGATATAAGAGATGCAGGTTCAACCCCCGGGTTGTGAAGATCCCTGGAGGAGGGCATGGCAACCCAACCCAGTATCCTTGCCTGGAGAATTCCATGGACAGAGGATCCTGGTGGGCTGCAGTTTATGGGGTCGCAAAGAGTCAGACATGACTGAGAGACTGAGCACACATGCAACCATTGAATACAAAATTTGAAAAGTAGATTTTTGGTTCTCTCAGTGGCTCAATTCTTTGCTATTATCTTTTTTATCCATCTTGGGTTAGTCTTTTGCTTGAAACCACCAAATTTTCTTGTATGAAAACATGCTTTTGTGTATTTTTCAAGATTAGAGGTTATGCTACATGGGAAGTTGGTTGTAATGAAGTGATGTTTTACAGATAGGTGAACTATGGCTGATTCATGTTGATGTTTGACAGAAAAAAAAACCAAAATTCTGTAAAACAATTATCCTTCAATTAAAAAATAAATTAGTTAAAAATAATAAAGATAGGTGAAATTTGTCCTTGTAATGATGTCTTCACTTAAGTGTTGAGGTGTTGATTGAGATCTTTTCTTGTCCTTGGTGTTTTCTGAGGAGTTGAAAGTAGATTACAACCTGTTGAGAACAAAATTTTTTAAATTTCTAAGGCTGAGTTGGAAGGATGTAAGAGTCTTAGTTTGGGACTCATGTGCCCTGAAGGACAGAGAGAGTGAAAAGTAGTGTAGTACTGGGAAGGAGGAACCTGTGTTCATGTTTGGGAAAGTGCAGTATTTGTGAAAAGAACCTATTTCCTTTCCTTATCTCCTATAATTATAGTGGAACCAGCCACTTGATCGGTTTTCTTCACGAAAGCCAAGGAGATGGGACCCCAAAAGAATAGTACATAAAGTTTAGGGATATCTACAAGATGTTCAGTTCAGTTCAGTCCCTCAGTCATGTCCAACTCTTTGCAACTCCATGGACTGTGGCACACCATGCTTCCCTGTCCATCACCAGTTCCCAGAGGTTGCTCAAACTCATGTCCATGGAGTCAATGATGCCATCCAACCATCTCATCTTCTGTTGTCCCCTTCTCCTGCCTTCAATCTTTCCTAGCATCAGGGTCTTTTCCAATGAGTCAATTCTTCCCATCACTTGTTAAGGTTCACTTATTCCTCTGCCAGATATCTGCATTACCATTGGGATTTTGAGCTACCTAGATGCTATGGGAGCCTGGAAAGGACATTTTTGAAAGATGATGTTGTGGTGTGGCCAGATAGAGAAAGGGCTAAGATTAATCCCTTACCAAATTTCCCAATTCTGGATAAGCATGAAAAATAAATCCTACCATGCTTACAAGTTCTAGAGTTGGGAAGAGGGGAGTTATTGAGATACAGATTTACCAGAAACTGATTACAGACTAGGACAAAGAGACCTATGAATTATAGGAATTCTATGTGAGGGTTATGAGGTAGGAGTCACATACAAGATATGGCCCAGTCTTCCAAGGAAACACTTGAAAGGGAGATGCTTGGATGTGAGTCCTTAGCAGCAAGTTCTCTAGAAATCAAGCTTGAGCTTCAATGATGATTAATCATGTGGGATAGCAATCTTACCCTCGGTATTCACATAAAGAGTTGTCTTTATATCCCTCTTCTTCAAACTGTCAAGTCATTTGTGTAAACCAGGGAAAAGGGTGTGATTGTTAATTTTATGTATCCAACAGGCCATCGGATGCCCATATATCTGACTGAATAGTATTTCTGAGTGTGTCTGTGAGGATGTTTCTAGAAAAGTTTAGCATTTGAATTGGTAAACTGAGTAAAGCAGATGGCCTTACCCAATGCAGGTATACATCATATAATACCACTGAGGGCCTAAATAAAACAGAAAAGCAGAAGGTCGAATTCACTCTCTGTCTGATTGCTTGAGCTGGTACTTTGATCTTCTCCTGCCTTTGGTGTTTCTTGTTTTCAGGACTTCTAATTCAGACTGGCACCTACATGTTAGCTCTCCAACACTCAGGCTTTTAAAGTACACCACTGGCTTTCTTGGCTCTCCAGCTTGTAGACAGCACATCATGGAACTTCCCAGGCTACATAATCATGTAAGCTTATAGACTTACAGTCAGTCTATAG